ATGTGTTGTCCAAGCCGATGTTACGCTTTGGATTGGGGTGTTCTACAGGATATGTAGAACAGGATATGTATGTCTCTCTTCACCTGCTTGCTGCCCCGAGAACAGGCCTGTCCGCCACTGTGATGGACCGCCAGGGGACAAAGCAAAGGGCCAAACCACCATTACCTGAAACCTGAAACTGTGACACAATTCATCTTTTGTACATGTGCATTTTCTCAGGCATTTTCTTTTGTATAGCAACAAGGTGCTGCCAGTTAACAGCAACTCTTTCAGGATAGCACTTGTTTTTAAGCAAAATTCGTTTTTGCAATGGCAGTTGGTCTGCTTTGGCTGACTGACCTATGTACCAGGTGTGCATCTGGGAAGCAGAGGTAAACAGTAATAATAACCCTCCAGCAAAGAGAATTGGGATCTGTTGATATTCAGAAGGCATCTTTTTCAGGAGTTTTTCAGTCATCCCGAGCTGGATGGTTGCTGTTTCTTTGGAGGCTGGGAATGAGACGGGAATGCGATTTCCATTTTGCCAAAGTCTTCTCCAACCCTTGTTGTGTCTCACAGACGGATCTCTTTTTCCATTAACTGAACTAGCCTGGAATCTTTTTTTTTTATTGTGAACATACTGTACAGAGGGGTTACAATTACATGGGCAAGATAATGAGTACATTTCTTATCAAGCATTGCAGCCTCCTCCTTTGTTTACCCTTCACATTTCTTCCCAGCCTCCCACCCACCTCCCCCACCCCATCCTCCCCCCCCCCACCAAAAGTTGTAAAGTTCGTTTTCGACATGACAATTTATACTTCTCATTGTTGTAACGGGTCCACAGTTATCCTTGAACGACTTGTTTTTCCCCTTCTCCTCCACAAATTGTACCGACATCAAATATAGTGAAAGCAGGTAGCCTAGAATCTTTAGGCATGTGAGTTTACAATACCACCTCTACAAAACTGATTTGTGAGATTATAGGCTGGAAGCTAAATGTATTAAAAAAAACTCTAAATGTACTTTCCTGAGATATTGTACCTAAAAGTTTCCTACTGAATAGGTGATCTTTCCAAAGTTACCCTGATTTCTTTTATCTCTAAGATTCTATGGTCTAACTCACTTAGGTTTGCTTATGTATCATAAAATTAAAATTATAAGACCATTATCTAAGACTTGCTGATAAGTTTTGGACAATTCACGTGCCTTAGCAATCATTCTTTTTGCCTCCTGCCGTGTCACATTCTTGCCTGTGGTTCAATGAATGGCAGCAACAATATCAAAACGCTTTGTCTTCTCTGCCTTCTATTTTTTGTGATCCTGAGTGATTATAACAATGGCTGAATCGTAACTTGGATAATATGTGCTTAGGTCTGTGTGCTGAGCTTACGCTGGCAAATTATGATTTAATACAGGTGCTTTCATTTCCTCACAACTACACAGAACCTAACAGTTCATTTAAAGCAAATGAGAAGTCTAAATTATGTTGGCTGCTGACATAAACCAAACATCAGGTCTGTAACACAATGGGAATTGTGTTAAGTTCGGCCTGGAGTTCCAGGTGGATTTAGTTTAGTTTTGAACTTTTGAAAGGAATAGAGAAGAAAATCCATTTACTTTTATAATAATCAAGGTGGCATGTACACCACAAGCTACTCTGGGATCATTCTTATGATCTGGCCTGCCGTGCTTTAGGTTCTATCATAGAAGTTTCCAGCAAGGGAGGCGGGAAGAGCTTTAATGGTGGAGCCAGCCCAGATTCTTACATTCCACCAAGACACAGGGAGACCTGAGGAGAGGACCGAAAAAGGGAAAGTGAGCTCCTGAGGAAGCCGGGGCCTCGAGAGGCCTGGCGCTGTGGTGAGGTGGAATATTCCAAGGGCAGCAGCGACAGCCATCGCCCTGGGTAGCTCTGAGTTGTTCCATTTTTTCCCCCAACAAGATGTTCTTCTTTCCTTCCACACTTTCTCCCTCTGCCTCCTCCTCTTTCCTCTCTGTCTCACCATCCTCTTCCCTTTCCCTTCATGCCTCATTCCTCCCCCCTCTCTCTGTCTCTCTCTCTCTCCCCCTCCCTCTTTCTAAATTAGGTAGTGTTCCAAGGGCTGAAAAGGATGTTATACAATTCAGAGGGACGACTTTTAGCCCCAGGCTACACAACTGACCTAAGGCTAGATAGGCCCCGGCACTCAGAAGTCCAGTCAGTCTCCCCAGGTGACTGAGGTGACTCCAGGTCTCCGCTCATGTCCCTCCTCTGTCTAAGTGTCTTCCCTATTGCTTGTGGCCCAGAGTAGATAAGTCAAAATCAAATAAAACCCCATCGACTGACACGATAGACAGCCTTCTTTATAAAAACAGTCCTATTCTTTGGAATGTGTTTAAATTTAGATACTTCCTTGCAATCTCTTATAAAAGCATTAAGATACACTCTCCGGAACTACCTCTTTTGTAAAGTCTCTTCTGAGAGGGACAGGGTGATGTGGTTGCTCTCAGCCTGAATGACGACAGCAGATGCCCATATTTCCACTGTAGCACTCATTACCTTGTATGCTAGTGTATTTTACACTTGGCTTGTCCACGAGACACTGAAGATCCAAAGAGTAGGAAGGGGGTGTACCCAATGGCAAATCCTACGGTTGCCACTTGGCTTGTGTCCACTGAAATTAGGGATGAAGCTGTGTGTCAGAAAAGCAATTCCAATATACAAACTAAGTATCATAATGCCAGTAAATAGAAGCTTAAATATAAGCGTTCTATAACTGCATATATACACTAGATTAAATAGGTTTCCTGTGAAACTCTGATTTCATAATAATCTAAATAGCTTTGCAAAAGTTTGATCTTTCAGTATATCTAAATCAGGAGCTCTACAAATGATGCAAGTATTCCATATTGGAAGATGCTACAACTGTACTCAGACCAGCATTACATAACATGAAAGAAAGTTCACTTTTCTTGGTTCTTCCTCTCCCTCTCTCTCCCCTTCAAATACATGCACAGAGTATGGCAAACTAGTTCATAAATGCCTTTGAGTTTTTTCACATTCATGGCTTTGGAATAAGATCATCTTGTACATTTATTCATATTTGTAAGGAATGATAAAAAATTGATATAAATTTTAATTTAGTGGGCCATGTTTTAGTTGTCAATATCATTCATACTTTGTGCATCATTAATTATAAATAGACACAAATAATCCAAATCAAATATTTTGTACAATTCTGTGTATACAGATTCTTATCTGTCTCTATCATGTTATTCTTTATTTGTAAATTCAACTTATGTCTTTGGAAAGTGTTATTTGGCAGTCACAGTTTTAAAATAATGTATATGCTCATGCATACGTGTAGGTGTGTTACATACAAATGGATATTTACTATAGAGATCACTACGTATAGTCATATCTATATATCTGTTATCTACCTGTCTAGATACAGAAATAGAGAGAGAAAATATGTGTTTATATGCAACATATACATAGTCAACACACACACACACACACACACACACACACACACACACACACACACACACACACACACACACACCCACTATGGTCCACAGCAACCACAGCATCTGGTAATATAGTGAGCCAGCTGATGGCTCTCAGATAATGAGATGAACCATCCAATGGGCCCCAAGAACCTTATTGCAGCTACTTAGCTGTAGCCAGTGAGTGCTTTCAGGCAATTCTGAGTTCAGGGTGCTCTATAAACTAGCATAGTTTCTCTGGTGGGATCTCTCCTGTCATCTGTTTTGGGGTCTGATGAACAATTTGGAGTCCTGAGGACTGACAAAATGTGCGAGAAGTAGTGTGGGGTCTGCCATAAACTAAGAAATGAAGAAGGAGGGTTAAGCTGGAAGTGCAAAGGCATTATTTTCTTTAAACCATGATTTGTGACTGTTTTTCAAGAAAATGGAAGCTGTGTTAAGGATGAATTAGCCATTAGGAAGGCTTTGAGTGTTGTTTAGGGTGGGAATCATTTCTTTCTGAGATCCTTGACTTGGTGCTCTCAGGAGCCCCACAACTCTTGGGGACTTTGTTAAAATGACCCTTGAATTCTTGATCCATCAAGTGCTTCTGGGGTGCTGCTTCCTTAGCCCCTGTACTCCCTGCCCACACTAAGACCAGTGTTGCTTGCACATTGCATTTAGCTGGCTTGTCTTATTTGCATTTCAAATGAACTCATGTTCCATTGAAGTTTTGAGTTTACTCTGGTCCTTATCTTTTTCTTTTTTGAAGTGAGAAAGACAATTGTGATTTTTATTTCCGTTTGAAGCATCCTCTTTTCTCTTGAGAGAACTAGACTCTAGTTCTACATTAGCCTTGGAAAATCAGAAGACAGGTTGGGGCATGTGTATTTGAATAGATGCCCCCAGGGTAGCTCTAACAGCTGTTTAGGATCCAGACTTACCAGTCCATTGGAAATCCATGTTTACTTATTGTCCAAGGAGAGGATTTTTTTTTTTTTTTACTTAGAATGATTACATGAAAGGCTTCTCAGGTGGCTGATTGTTTGACATTTACTCCTCCCCCAAATCAAAATTACTTTTCAAATGAATGCAGATGCTGAGGACTTATTCTTCAGTCTAGAATTTTCCTGTGAGGGGGGAAGATATGTGGGTTTTGGAGTTCATTTGGGGAATACTTGTTAAGCCTGCATGGGATTATGTTCTCTACCCGAAGGCTGTCATTGGATGGATGGTGGTTCATTTTAGAAGAGATGAAAGGTGATTGATTGGCCTAAATGCTAGAGATCTCAGAATTCAACAAGAATGTGATGTGTGAGAATCCTAAACAGCCCAGTCTACTTAGGAAAATCAGGAAGTTTGAAGACCATAAAAGGGCAGTTTTATTGTGCTGGCAAGGGTGCTGACAGAGCCAGCCCCTTTGTTAATGATTAACCGTAAGAGTCTGAATAGGCAGGATAGGAAGAGAATCGAAGTCTACCACCCATATGACGCTTCTGCTCTCCTTTCTACTAAAATCCTATAGAAGATGTTTGTTTTCTTTTCCATAGGTTCGAACCAGTGTCCAACCTGAGCACAAGGATCCCCCACCAGAAGTTGGGGTAAGAATTTTGTCTTTAAAAAGAAAATAGGCACCCACCTTGCTCTTTGAAGTTCATCATTTGGATGGTGTCTGGCTTCCTGACTCCTTGATCGCTGACAAATACAACTGAGTTAAATTAGCAGGCACCGTCACTGTCATGCTGAAGGCTGGCTTTGAATCTCGATTCTCATATCTCAGCCTCCTGAGTAGTCAGGATTATAGATGTGAGGCCCTGATGCCCACTTCCAAGCTGTTTCTTGATGAATTAGTCAAGTTGCTACCAATTGTGTTCTTAGATCTTTTGAAATGTATTCATAGTTAAGATGTAATTCTATAGTAAATGACTACCATAAAGAACTTATTGATTTGGTGAGGATTATTTATCAACTGTTAATACATTTCCTTCCATTTTTTTCCTTTCTGGTATCTTTTATTTAATGTTAATAGTCTTTGTATTCTTTTTCCCTTATTATGGGATGGAAAACCATAAAAACTCATATCTGTTATGTCTAAGAGTGAAGAAAGTATACCTAGAAAAGGCCTATCTGATAAGTTATATGTATAGACACTGTATATCAGACTTATGATATCCACTTTGGCTCTTCAAAGCATATATCTCATATATATATATATAGAGAGAGAGAGAGAGAGAGAGGGAGAGAGAGAGAGAGGGAGAATTTTATAGGAATAGGTCAGGCATTGCTGATGTATTTATTTAACTTTTAAACTATCAGTAACTAATAGAAATAGAATATACCACAAAGGGCATGCTTCATAAGTAATTATAAATTTTCTAGTAGCCATGTTTGTAAAGAATAAATTAAAATTATATTATGATTAAAATTATATTAACCAGTTTACTAAAAGGATAATTTTTAAAAACAGAATGTATTTTTCTTCTTATCTGTTTTTAAATTGTGTTTCTATTATCTTTCAGTACTTGTATTAAGGGATTACATGAGTACAATGCATCTTGATCAAAATCACCCCTTTCTTTAAGTTCCTTTTAATATATTTAACATAAGGTATTTTCATCTGAATATGCAATCAATACAAAATTATGTGCTGTATCACATGTTCCTTTATTCGTGCTAAGTCTTCTAAATTCAGTGGGTATTTAATCTTGGAGAATATCTCCACTGAAGTAGTCCCATTTTAGGGGTTAAGGCTAAATGATTTTTCCTTCTGGTAGCCTGGCTCTGGACAGGAGTTGGAAATATTGTGGGAGGAGCTTGCAAATTATAGTATATAGAAGGCCTCCACTTAAGTCAATGCCTTGTGAGATCAACGTGAGCACTGGAGGGACTCTGTGACTTGGGTCTAGTCCTTGATGAGGCTGATAGGATAGGCTGATTATTCGTATACTCCCTGGAGAGCGAGTCCAGAAATAGGGTTCCCTGGCTGTTATTCTGCACTGGGTGATTGAAATCATGTATCAGTGCTTATCTACTTTGGGGTCTGTGCACCAGTACGATAATTCTGAGTGTTGGATTGTCATGACCAGGAAAAAAAAAGAGGCCAGAGCCTTGTTTGGAGTGGACAGGGAGCATGTCAGAAGGAGAGAAAGAATTGCCACCTACCCTGTGAGTGAGGCACAGGCAGAGAGGCTAGAGGTTCTGAGTCAGCCTCTCTGCTTGTTAATAGTTCTGTGCCTATGTGAAAACTAGTTTCCTCTCGTGGGCTCCAGCTCCTTCCCCGGCACTCATGTGATGCCCTAACAAGCCACAACATCCTGTCGACACTCCACAAATCTGAGCTTGCAGAAATGCTTTCTCAATAATCACCAAGGACTTCAAGTTTTATATCTTACATTTTTTTTTTATCTAGAATGCCTTCCTACCTATATTTTCTCTGAGTCTAATTTTTTATTTCTACTCATGTATTTTTCTTTCTGCATTGCAGACCTTTTTTTCCTAGATATTTTCCTCTTTTTTTGGGTCTGCCTCTTGTGGGGAATTTAAGTTGGACAGAAGACACTTGTAAAGCATCTTCCGTGGGGTGTACTATCTCAATTACTTTGCATCCTAAGACTGATTATCTCTTTCCTGTTATTTTTGGGGAGTGTACTAAGTGCTTTTTCTAGGCTTCTTGATTTCTCAAGATAAAGTTATCATGAGAACATTGTCCCAGAGTTGGGGTAACTTGTACAGACCACAGACCGTTGGGAATGACAAGGAAATGAGAACTTCAATGCTGGCCAGTCAATAACGAGGCAAGAGTCAGGAAAATCGCCCAGATTATCACTTGTGGGTAGAATAACTAATTCAGGGCCATACTTTAAACTTCTGAGCTCTAACTTCAATGAAGCTTTGTGTTTTATGTCTTTATTCTTCCCCTGATAGAAACAGCACCAAAGTAGACACAGGAAAGACTGTCCCTTTAATTATATTTGAAACATAATATTTTTTTAAAGTTTCTCTTAAAATCCATGATTACAACCACAGGGGGAGCAAAGATAAAAATAGCTCTGGGTTGCGATTCTCCTCCATTAGCAATAAGTACCATTTTTCCCCCTCTCTGGGAACTCAGAGCTGAGAAACAAAGAAGATTCCATTCTTTTACAGTTGTCAGCCTTTTGTCAGCCAAGGGCCATACAGATATTTATAGCCTTTGTAAGTCATATCGTGCTATCAATAGAAGAGCTGGAGGCGTGGCTCAGGAGAATTGCACCAGCCTAGTAAGCACAAAGCCGTGAGTTCAAACCCCCAGTACAGACAGACAGCCCTGCCAACAGAGCATGAGTGGCACGTGTGTGTTTTCGTGCACCCAGTGGTGTGTGGGCCTTAGTTGGCCCAGTGGCCAGACACGCCACACTCCTGATGGATGATTTGTTTTCTAACTGGAGGGTTTGGGGAAGGTTCCAGTGTTCTTGATATTAATGTGAAGCAAACCCAACTGCCAAGGCAAAGGTGTAGACAGTTTTCTTGCTGGGTGTTGTCCTGTGAAACTGATCTATTGTGAGAATGTGGAGCTGCTGTTCCTGTGTTTAGCCTGGAACCCCCAATACCATTATTTTTCTTTTAGAATAACTAGGCGAATGCCTGCATCCAGCACTGCCTCTGATTTGACAGTGTTTCATAGTGAGGCTCATGTGATCTCAGATCACAGTTACCATGACTGGTTTTCCTCAGCTGGATTGGTATGCATACACACTGTCCGTGTGGGGCTGGCAGTGGCGGTGACAGCGTTGGTGACAGTGGTCCTGGTCCCTGCCCCCTCTGTGCTCTCCCTGGGCAGATGGAAAGGCCAAGGCCCAGCTTCCTGGGGAGCCCCTGGCCCGGTGGATGGGACACGCGTTCGGTGGCTCTGGCCATCAGTTTTGCTCACAGCTAGCGGTGCCATATGGCCCGTCTGGAGCTTGTCTATTTATAGCCCTCCCGCCCGGCCTCGCTGAGCGGGAGGAGTTGGGCTGAAAAGGGCTACCTCAAAACGGCGACACACGCAGGCTCCTCATCCCTACCTAGAAAACGCCAAAATAGACAGATTTAGAAATAGAAAATATTTAGGAATTGGAGGGCTTCATAAAATGTATTTTATTTGTTCTTTTTGTAATGATTAAGGATTTATTCAATTTGAATTTCTTTTTATATGTTTTTTTATTGTGAAAATACTGTACAGAGGGGTTACAGTTACATGAGCAAGATAATGAGTACATTTCTTACCAAGCATTGTGGCCTCCTCCTTTGTTTTTCCCCTGCCATCCCTTCCCTCCCACCTCCTCAACTACACTCATCCCTCTCCCCTACTGTAAAGTTCGTTATTCAACATAGTGTCTTGTACATCTCATTGTTGCAATGTGTCAACCTGTATCCCTATTTAAACATTTTGTTTTTTCTCTTTCCCTCCCCAAATTAGACTGACATCAAATACAGTGAAAACAGGGGTTACACCATGGGGGAGGAACATACAAAGCAACAAAATAATCACATGGTACCTTATAAATATGTTAGGAACAATAGCAAGAAGGAAAAAAACCACTTGTGTCCCTATCTTGGGGTTCATTTCGCTTAACTTCATCTCATCTGGTCATATGTACATAGCTTTTGACCTTTTCTACTTGTCCCAGACATTATTGCAAATAAGGGAAGCCATGAGACCTATGTTTCTTTGAGCCTGGCTTACTTCACTTAATATAATTTTTTCCAAGTCTTTTCATTTCCTAACAAATGGGGCAATGTCATTCTTTCTTTTACTGTTGTTGTTCAGGGGGTTTGAACTCGGGGTACTATCCATGAGCTCAGCTCATTCTTTCAAGGCTAGTGCTCTACCACTTTGAGTCACAGCACCACCTCCAGTTTTCTGGTGGTTAATTGGAGATAAGAATCTCACAGACTTTCTTGTCTGGGCTGGCTTTGAACCAGGATCTTCAGATCTCAGCTTCCTGAGTAGCTAGGATTACAGACATGAGTCACCAGCACCTGTCTAGCAGCATAAAATTTATAATGTGTTAAGAGTTTTTGAGTACAGGAAAGAGAAGCAGGAATTTAAATTAAAACCCTTGATTATCAGTGAAAGAGAAAGGGAATGATGCATCTATAAATGACAAAATGCTGGAAGTATACTATAACAGGAAATGGAAAGACTTGGGAAAAATTATACTAAGTAAAATAAGCCAGACCTAAAGAAAGATAGGCTGCATGGTTTCTCTGATTTGTATTAACTAGAATGTGCTATAAATCTACAAGTAAACCCAATGGACAGTAAAAGACAAATAATTACACCTGGACATGATTAATGAAGCATAAACTGCAAACTAAACATTCACAAGTGAGAATAAAAGGAGAATATTCTTCGGAAAGGATCTCAAGGCTCAGATGATCATATAATAATATGATACTTATTGAAATGAACTCCAAGAAATGGCAGAGGATTTTTATTATACTGTTTGTGATTCTTTTTCCCTTTCTTTTCTTCTTTCCTTTTTTCTTTACTGTTTTTTTCCTTTCTTTACTGTTTTTATTTCTGTACTCTTGGTCTTGTGTATAAGTTTATCTGGTTTCGGGAGGGGAGAGGGAAACATAGAAATGGTGGGACAAGGGGTGAACCAATTCAACAGTGAAAGCCACTAGACACTATGTTGGAAATGAACTATACAATCTGGAGGGAGGGAAGTCAACCGGGGAAAAACAGAGAGGAGGAGGGAGGGGTGACCCTGTTCAAAAGGAAATGTAGTCATTACCTGAACCATGTAATTGTAACCCCTCTGTACATCACCTTTACAATAAACATTTCAAAAAATAGTACATAATCTATAGGCTATAAAATTATTTTGATTTGTTCTCATTTCAATGGACTGCAGTGATTTGTAAGTTGCATACAGAGTATTTCTTCTGCATCTGTTAAATATAACTTACTTGAACGCTTTGCTGTGCCATTCATTTATTATTGGGCAGGGAATGTTTTTCACATGCCCGCTCTTGTTCTGGGCAGGAAAGTTTATCAGAAAGTAAAATAAAGCTTATTTTAGATCTCCAAATCACCATTATTTGTGAGGTGTAAACATAAGCAATTAAATATAAAATATTGGATGACGGTAGGGAATGAGGAGGTGATTAACTGGTCTGGTTCCTGAATGTCTGCTTGGCTCTCTAGTCCCTTGGTGAGGTCTGTCCATTTTCAGGTTTTGTTGGTGAAGCCCTAGCTTACTCTTCTGCCTTGATCCAGTCATCACCTCACTCCTAGGCACCTCTTCTTTCCCTCATCTTTTTCATCTCATAAGAGAATCTCAGATTCCCTGAGCTTTATGTAAGTTGGTGTCTGAACTAGCATTTAGTTCCAAACAAATTCATCAGGGTTGCCATTCTTAAATATTAGACACTTCCCATTTAAGAGCTGAATGTGTTCCCAAATGTTTGCATTTTTGCCTTCCTGAAGTAGCTCTTTGAAGGTATGGGCTTGAAAATTGAAGTGTATGCAATTTCTGACCTGAGTCCTTGTGTAGCTATGTTCAACAAATGCTATGTTAACAAAGTGTTAAAAACAAAATCCAGTTGTGCTGAGTGCCCATGCAATACAAGCGCCTTGTCATCCTAACTACTCAGGAGGCTGAGATCTGAGGATCACAATTCAAAGCCAGCCTGAGCAGGAAGGTCCAGAAGACTCTTATCTCCAATGAATCACCAAAAAAGCAAGAGGTGGAGCTGTGGTTCAGAGTGGCAGAGCTCTCTAACCTTAAGCAAAAGAAGCTCAGGGACAGCATCCAGGACCTGAGTTCAAATCTCAGGTCCAGGAACAGACAAAGAAAACATGCCATTGCTCTCAGTTTCTCCCACAAGTGAAGTCTGGCAGTAATCCTATGATGAGAGAAAGTCAGAACGATAACCTTGACTTTTGTAGAATATCACATGCCGAGACAGCAGATGCATAGAATGATATGGGATGGGTAATGCTAGGTTTTTTTTTTTTTTTGACCTTGATCAATATTGTTTATGTTCTTTATATAATAATAGCCAGGAATAGTAAAAAGAGATGGAAGTTCTTATCTTGAGATAGAAAAAAATAACAGTTTTCTTCTTTACATTGACTAGAAAACATAGGTGATTTGATACCCAGTATACTAAGTTTAAAAAGCAATTTCAGAAAGGATAATGGAAGAAGCACTTTTACTTGTGTGTATGAGACTGAATTTGTCTCATGCTATTTACTACAGCAACAGCTAAGGAAACAAATGCTTTTGAATGTTTCTGTGATGGAGGAGAAATATAGCCTTTCTATTTATATCTTGTCCAGTGTCCCACATAAAAATAGCTCCAAGTAACAGATTTGCTCATATCTGGAGTATAAACTTGTTGCACTCAGTAATTTGAAGAAGACTCAAAGAACGACAGCATTGGTAAATACTGAAGTTCATCAGCTCTTCTTTCACTATAGTTTTCTTTTGGAGAGAAGCATATGACTAGTGGAAAAGTCCTACCTGGCATCTTTAGCATGTAGTTATTTTCCAGGCTAGGAATCTCTTTGTTTTTGAACAGAAATGGTACACTTATACACCCTTCTTCTCTCACCCCCCTGAGGTGATAGATACTATTAATAATTGTATTTCTGTCAGTGAAGTATTTATCAGGCTAACAGATTCTGTATGTTATTTGTCTAAAGACTAAGGCTGTGTGATTGGTGTGACAACAAAAATATTAAGGACCTCAGAAGTTAATAGAAGGCATTTTTTTCTTTCTGATTTTCAGAGAAGTTTCTTGGGTTCTACCATCTTTCAAGTCGGGGAGTTACTGAAGTCAAAGGAGCAGCTGCTGACCCTGAGTCTGAGGTGAGTCCCTTCGTTGGAGGAGCACTGTTCAAGTGTGGAGCCTGTGATGTGCAGGTTTCATTTCAGGGTCAGAGGTCTCCCAGGGGTTAGACTCTCAGATAGCTTGTGACTTTGTGCAACAAGTTATTATGAACTAGCAATAATCCAGGTTCACACCAGGTTCATGGTACAGGTTGGGTAAGGTTATTCACTATCATTACACTATCATTAAGATGATGAAATTCTTTCAAAAAGGTACACCTAAATTATGATGGCATTACCTCATTATATTCACACCAAAAGTTATTTTTTAAGTCTGTTTGAAATGTGCTTGTTAGAGGCAGTATTGTAGCTTTATCGTAGTAGAGAGTAAACTGGGATTGTTTTCGTTCATTTTGTTGCTATGCTATTCAACCTAAAACACTGAGCATTTAGAATAGATTCATTAAAATGGACAGTAGATTATAGCTAATTCTGAGTATGAGCACAATAATTTTGATATCAAGGTTGAGATATCAAGATAATAACATTGCTTAGGAAATCATTGAGTACTTTAATACTAAGAACATTTTAATATTAAGAGTATATTAATACTGAGAACACTTCAGACTACTAAGATGAGTATTTAGGAGAATTTTAAAATTCTTTTAAAATTTACAGCATATTTAAAAATTTTATAACTTTTATAATTAAGTACACATAAAGAATACCGCCCTAGAGTTCAAGTGGATAAAAAAAATGTTTAGGGCATTATTTGTAAATCTGAAGAGACTCTTGCTGTGAAGGAACATAGGGGCTCTTTTGGACACTAGAAAGCGTCTTGCTTGACTCTGCAATTAATTCATCAAATCTATTTAATTAATTTTCATTGCACTTACTTTGTCATATGACAAGTTTCTGTGGTTTATGTTGGACTATATTCTTCTACATTCTCCTCTTTTTCTCTCCATATTTCTGCATGGTGATTTGATAGTATTGCATTATTCTACTCGTAATAGAGAATTATTGTAATATGCAAGCAGATCAATGAGTATTGTGGATTCTAATAAGGCTGCTACCTTGTCTCTAACTTCATTTAGGTCTGAGCTCTTCAACATTTTGTAGTGCTATGGTTTATTTGGGGAAACATAAAAATCTTTATGGTTTGCAGATGTTACTCCAATACATTTTCTACTGTTATTTTTTTCAATTAAAAGTGTCAGATGACCAGCTGAAAAATACTAGCTGTTCATGTCACTGATACCATGCCAAGATACCATCATCCTAGCACATCCGTTGGAACTGACCTTCAGATCCCAGGATGTGAGATAGAAGATATCAAACACAGATCTAACGGAGAACTGCTAACGGCTTGCGTGCGTTCTCCAGCATGTGTGACCACTGTGTCCTTCTTCATCCTGAGTCACCAGCATTAACACCAGAGGCAGGGACCTGTAGGCTAGTCCTCCGAAGAGACCCTGCTGTGGAAAAGAAACCAGACACCAGAACTTCCTAGTGAAATGAAAATTGAGGCAACATAGTAACCTGAGAATGCAAGCCCAAGGGTTGATGTTATATTTGGATTTAAAAAAAAAAAGAAATACAAACATTTCACATTGAGTCAAAAGCACTACAGATTTCCACCTTTGATTTCAGCACCCTGATTTGAGGTCATTTTGTCTTGATTGTGTAAAAGGATACAAGTTGAACAATCAAGGATTGTCTTCTTGAAAAACACTAATTTTAGGAGACGGATTTTGAAATGGCTGTGGTGTTATTTGCCCCTTCAGTGCTCGGCTAAAGCCCTTCAAGCCAGCCAGATTGTAAATGTATCATAATTTAAAAAAAAAAAATTCTTGTACATGGTGTTGCCTTCTATTTCTGATATAATTTACCTTGTTTATTTTTCCTTTGCTCTGTGTCTGAAGTGGTAAATTGTAGGAACATTAGGTCAGGAGTAAAAATAAAATAATTTTGTTTTATTTCTTAAACCGTCATATGTACTAATTTTATTCATTTAATATTCCAGTCATTATTTTTAAACCATAGAATTAAACTAAAAAGCAAGAGGCTGATTGTGGTTACTAGTTGAGGATGGTGAAGTTCCTTATCTGTGTGTTCAGTTCAAGCTTTGAAAATCTGACATTTTGACCTGTGTCTGCTGCTCTGTTAGGAACTTTTTTGGCTAGGTAATTCAGACTCCATTGCTCATTTCACGCAACTCTATGGTTTAATGTGGCTACAATATTATACGTGTTTTTGAGTTCAGAGAGATCTGGAAATCAAGTGCCTTGGAATTGATTCTTTTTTCCTATAGAAAACCTAAAAGGCAAGTGATGTATATTTACTCTTTAGAACTATGACATTAGCAGAACCTGAACAAGTAATGACAATTAAATACTGTACTCACCAAGTAGAATGTTAGAACGTTGTAATAATGCCTTTTGAGTTGATAAAAGAATGGAAAAGTTGGATCTACTCCTGGGTATGGAAAAACCATGGTGTCCCTAAATACAAAGGCAAACAACAATAAAAATTTAAAGGGTAAAACTTCTGCCCTACTAAATCCTCAGAGAGGCAGGTGGAAATTGTGTTGTGTCTCTCCTGGGAGCGTAAGTGTCATTTGTTTTCATTCATTCATTCAGCAAACATTAACTAAGAATTTTTCATATCCTAAGAACTGGGATAGGTTCTTTAGACAAGTTTTTAAATGACAGCAAAGTTAATATTTTTCAGTATATAATTAATAGTATGTTTGATGAATGATCTATTTGTTAGGCATCAATGAGCATCAAAGAACCAAGAAGACATGCACTATCTTATCATTTAATCCATGTAGCACTGTCTGTCTATCATCTATCTATCTATCTATCTATATCTATCTATCTATGACTGTACAAATAAGATTAGATCTCAATTTAGTTTGAGTCCAGAACTTGTTGTGTATATATTTTACTACCTTGTAGAAAACTCACAACCTAACGGAATCTTTTATCCTTTTCTGTTTTGTAGTCTACCCATGGGACAGCTTACATTCCTCAATATCTTAACACTTAAAACCAATTTTATGTGCCTACAACATGAAGCTTTAGTAACTGTTTGTTGGGATTTTAATTTGCTGTGATGATTTCCTTGTATTTTTATAGATGGTTTGGATCCTTGCTTAGATCCTTAGATCTTTGATAGATCAGCTTCTATCCTTTCTTCTGGATGGATTCCAGCTAAATTAGTAGAAAGAGTGCATTGTAAGCGTTGCAGTGTTTGTGAGATGAACACAGCAGTGGTGAGCGACAGGGTATAAAGTGCTTGAAATGTTGAAGCCCTTGCGTAGCAATATGCATCTATTCCAGTACAGCTACCGTAGCTTGAACATTTACTCATCAGGGAACTTTCTGCAGTATGTCTTACAAATGCTTTGTTATTTCTTCTGTAACTTTTACCTTTGCAACATTCACTGACCCCAGACTAAGTGATCATTAATATGATCATAGTAGTAATGCATATGATATTATGATCACAAATTATATGTCATATGATATTAAGGATAAAAAGATTTTTTAAAATTTGGATGTGCAACTGTTTACTCATACAAAGAAAATTTGCTTTGTTTTCACTTATTACTTTTGCTACTTTGGCAATCGTGCTCTCTCATCAAACACAGTGAAACTCTAATGACCCAGTATGAACGTATAGGATTGTGACTTATAATGTACAAATAGATGAATAAGGGTATGAAGAAAATTGCTCAACCCCTGCTTATCTTTAAATCCTCCCTATCTGATGTATCAGTTATGTGAACATATACAAACATATACACCCAATATATTAACTATGTCATAAAGTGGTTTCTTTGTGTGACTGTACTGGGTTTAAACTGAAGTGAGCCTAGGCTCCCTTAACTCACTAAAGGCCGCAACTCCACTTCTGTCTGCTTGCTAGTTAATGGGAGATAAGGGTCAGTCAAATTTATTTGCTTGGGCTGGCTCTGTGCCTCAATGTTCAGATCTTAGCGTTTGGAATAGCTAGGAATAAGCTGAAGAGGCTCATAGAATGTTTTGATGGATAAGTGTGATATACACATATTAATTCAGGATTATTTTTCTTAAAGATCATGAATGCTTATTTTTACTGCTTCCAAGCATTTGTGCTTAGGGAAAGTAAGATCAAATTGTAAGTTTCCAAGTTAGTTATACACACACACACACACACACACACACACACACACACACACACACACACAAGCTCAAACTTAAGTTCGCTGTTTCTAAAAATACTAGAATAACAACTAATGAAAAAGAAATAATATCCTTAGTGATAATTGCTGAAAATTATTGAAGGGCTGTAATACACTTCATCTTATAATAACTGTTAAACTTCCAGCAACGTGTTATAAAATTAAAAAATGCAAATTACACAAATAGGAGATTCAGACAATAAAGACAGAGTGTGTGATTTAGATGTGGTTTAGAGACATATCTAAGCCTGGATCCTGGTATACTACCTGGATTCTGATAGGTCTGAGCCTATTATTGTTGTTGTTATTATCATTATTATTATTATTTGCACTAGGGCTTATACTCAAGGCCCCATACTATTGCCTCTCATATTGTTGCTTAGCTTTTCGCTCAAGGGTAGTGTTCTACCACCACTTCAGCCACACCTCCACTTCAGACTTTTTGCTGGTTAATTGGAGATGAGGTTCTCACAGACTTTCCAGTAGGCACTGAACTTTGATTCTCAAATCGCAGCCGCCTGAGTACCTAGGATTACAGGTGTGAGCCACTGGTATCTGACATTTCCTTATTGACTCCCCTCTATTCCCTGATTTTCATTTTTCTTTTCTCTTTTCAAGTGGGTCTGAGAGGTGCACTGGCCACAGACTATCTGAAATGGTATCCACGGGAATCCAGTGTTCATCATATGTTTAACTTATTGTTATCCGTATTACCTTCTATTTTGTTTCACTAGATTTTTAATTATAATGGAAATGTCTCTATAGTTATATACTCTCAGCTTTTCTTTATTTTCCTGATTTATTCTTA